CATTTGTGGCGCCGTTGTCAGAGGACAGTCACTGCAGCTCTGATTAGTGGTACCGTGGTTCGTTCTTTGCCTCTCGATTATTGCTGCAATAGTGTTTCCGCTGATTTTTACTGTGTCATTTTCCATCTTTGTGGCTTCACACAATCAGATTTTTCAGTTCAGTTGTGAAGCCATGATGCAGACATGTGGTTAAACACACAAGTTCTGGTGCTTACTGGTCATTTTATTGAAATGTTCATACGTTTGGGCTGACTGAAAATCACAGATGGGCTCAATTTTGTTTCACTGATCACAGGTTTCCTCATTTCTGTCACGGTGAGTTTCTGCCTTGTGGCCTGTAGTTTTAATTTTGCTGCAATATTAGTTTTTAACAATGTGATCAAAGAGCCAGTTAGAAATAATGCAATTCACTGAGAGGTGACACAAATTGAAATTATTCGACATTCAAGTGATTTTGCAAAGAGGACTACCCACCTCTGTTGTGTAGTCCTCGCCACATTTTTCAGTTTCAAGGTCTCACCTCCGGCATGTGTGAGTGCATTAGTGAGGCGAAACGTGCGCGAGTGGGTGAAAGACGGAGAGTGAGAGATAAGAGGCCAGTGGTGGTTCCTGACTGAGAAGATGGACTGTTACGGCCTCATTGATCAAAATCTCTCACGGGGGAGCTCATTCCGATCGATACCGAGAGAAGTGGGCAACAGCACTGCTGCTGTTTAGACCACAGTCCCTGCAATATGCACCTCCTTCTGTCCCTCTGTTTCTCTGTACTTACGCCACTTTTCATACCACCCACCCTAATTCCCCCCTCTGCGTCTCGCGCACAAGCAAATATTTCGACTCTTGTTAGGAAACCTGCCGCGAGAAAACCGATTTTCCAGATTTGCCCGCTGTAATTATCGGTGTCTTGCAGCCTCGGCGGAGGTAAACCTGCCACCTTTACATGACCTCTCCTTTCCCAGGCTGATGCTGTGCATAAGGAAGACGACAAAGGTTGTGGGAGAAAGAAATAAAATGTTGGCAAGGCGCAAAAATCTGTCATATCTACCTCCTGATTGGAAGAACCAGTTGAAAAGGCCAATGGGAATAGACTGGAAGTAGGTTCACAACACCCCTCGTAAAGCCACTGGAGTGAGCGAGTGTGTGGGCACCGGGGGAAGCAAAGATGTGAGACTCTCTGCTGTGTTTGGTGCGACTCTGAATAAGTGTGAAAATTCATGTAGGAGGGGGCGAAGACAGACATGTTGACGCAAGTGTGAATGAGAGTGTCCAGGGGATGCAGCGGCACTGTCGCCCCCTGTTAGAGACCCCAAAGCAACCGGCGAATCCAGGACGCGTCAGAGGGTGTTTTTTATTTTTTCTTCTTCTTCTCCGTGTCACCTTGCGTCTCAGGTGGGATGTGGGAATGAGATAGTGGCTCGCAGTGGGCCGCAGACAAGCAGATGGAGAATAAATCAATAAGGAAGTAGCAAAGCAAGAAAATGAGGGGAGAAAGACAGAAGGAGGGAAAACAATTTGTTCGGCACTGCGGAAAAAAAAGAAAAAAAAAAAGACGGGCTGGAAAATCCCTCTTGTGTTTGTGACATATTGATGCTTTTATTGGTGTAATGCGCAACAATTTCGAGGACTGTCGAACGCACAGTAACATTACAGATTACTCAGTGCTCGCCTAGTAGAGCAAGTTGGACTTCGGAGTCGTAGCGGGAGATAACTTTTAAACGTACGAGGATGAAGCGAACCGAAAGGGACATTGGTGACCTTTACTTTTTCACTTATGGAAAGGAACTGGCGAGAGTACAACCTCTGGCTTTCTGCTCTCCGCTCACAAACTCAACAACCCAGAAATTAACGTTAAATCACACAAAAGCTCAACAAACTTCACTGTCAGAATCTTACAATGACGCAGATTTTTTTGTAATTTCTTGATTAATGACAAATTTGTTCCTTTAAGGGTGAAGTTAGGCAGCTTGTTGGACATTTGAATCCTACTTTATTGGAGAATACTGACAACAAGAGACATATCGTGGCTGAAGTTTTGTTAGAAGGCTGCACTTAAATGTTTTGAACATATTTTTTCCGGGATGTTTAAAGGTGCACCAGTTTTTTGCCCAGTAGGGGGCAGTAGTTGACGGTTTTATCGCAAAACTAGCATTTTATGACTGATAAAGCTGATTGTCTATCTACCAGCTGACGATGAGCAGCATCACCACAAGTCCAACTCTCCTTTTTGCTCCGTTTTGGTCTCCACCAACTCCAGAAGTGATTTTCTGACGATTGCAGTTTTAATTCAAAGTGACCACACACCAATTTGACCGATTCTGATCAGTTTACTTGCCACGTAGTCCTGTACAACTAAACAGCATCCTCAGTTATGTATCGAGGGAAGCATATTTTCTGCGGAATCACATGTTTTTGTGAAGTATCGCAACCAGTCATATAATAAATGGGGTTGGATTGGCCAACCTGTTGGCAGAAAAGACCAAACCGAGTAGTTTTGGAGCCTAACCAAACTGAAAACTCATCTTAACTACATCTCTTCATGTGGACTTGGTGGCTCTTGAAGCCTTAAATGATGTTTGTGTTGAAACAAAACTGCATTTCTTTCAAAATGTAAATGAGAATACGATTTAGTTGTACTGGAATGTCATTTCTAGGAAACACGGTTGCTTCATGCGGCCTCATACTGAGCCATTAAAGAAACTGTCTAGTGTCACGTTGCTGCCAAATTAAGGGATTCGGTGGCTTTAAAGCTTGACAGATGTCATATTTCATCCTCTGCTACATGACTATTGTTCTTTATCCAACTGTTTTGAGCTCTTATACTGTGTGAAAGTAAAACACTAAATTACTAGATTATCCCTCACCACTTTCCACATAATAATCTTCTTAAGTTGTGTAATATTTAGGATTTAATATACTTTTATGTCTTGTTCTTCACTAATTATCTATGTCAAGTGAGTAGTTTTGACATTTTTTTGTGCTGTCATAATCTTTGTGCTATTTCACAATTGTTCAGATTTATTTCACGAATATGAACCCAAGCAGAGGTGCTTTGTGACAGTCAGTTGGTATTTGATATTGAGGGCTTTTTATTTTATTATCTGACACTCAAATCTACTTAATCCACCCACTGATGAAGTTCAGTGATCTACCGCAGCATCGTTTACAAGCCGACGATTTGTGGAATAATTTGGCGTCGCTGCGATTACAAGTTTCTGAATGATTACAGAAGAACAAACTCAGATTTCTGTCCTCGCCCACCAGCGCGCCGCCCGTCGACAAAACAGAACCGAGATCCGGAGTCCGTTCGGAACGGGCACAGCTTGAAACACCACTCCGTCTCAGCAGAGACCTTTGATGTCTGATGTTCTTTAATGAAACATCTCGCTCACATCAGAGCATCCTATTAAATTCCACTCATACGGGGAGACGAGGAAGAAGAGTGAGATTGAGAGAGCCGGAGCAGAGGAGTGTTGACCTTTGTGTGCATGTGTGGGAGTGTGTGTCTGCGAGGAGGAAGAAGAAGAAAAAAAAAAAAGAGGGGGATGAAACATCATTGGCGTCAAGCAAACCGTGAAGATCAAGTAAAGGACGGAGGGAGAAAAAAAAATCACACTTCAAAAGCACTTTATTAAGGATTTTTCATGAAATACATCTACTTACATCACAGCTTATTTATGTACAGTGGCGAGTCAAGTGTTGAGAGCACAAGATCTGAAATTGAAAGTAATTTCTGCTTCCAGTTATACCCCATGGTGTTCGCTAATTGTGTGATTTTAGGTTCCACAAACTGCACAGATGAAAGCGAGGCGGCTAATGCTCGCTAATAGCTAGGCTGGTAATAATGTGGACGCGGCACAGAGTATATGGGAGACAGTGTTGAAGCAGCATGTATTAAAAAAAAAAATCATTTTAACCCTCTGAACCTCAACAAGACAAACAAAAAATCTGCTAACTGACTGAATGAATTTTCAACTGTCAGAAACTATCTTGTGTGAGTTCTGTGAGGAAACTGAACTCAAGCTTAAAAATTGGGATATTTGATCAAAATCCTTTAATTCTCACCAAAAATAATTACTGAGATGGTGTACAAAAAATAAATAAAACAAAAAAATTCTGCACATTTCAGTGAAACTTTGAAGTGTTTAGTGACTCAGCTGGTACCAACAGTCACGTTACAAAAATTCAGGGACTTCTCAGCTTAACTGGGCTGAACTGCAAGCAGTGTACAGAAGAAAAATTAAAATGTAAGTTGGAAAAGTTTCTATAATATGCAGAATCACCATCTTTTTTTAATTAATAGTATTTGTAACACCACTGGAAAAAATCGTGTACACATAGAATCATTTCTGTTTTCAATTTTTTGTAAATATTTGAAGAAATTCTATATTTTTAAAATAATTTACGGCCTTATAATTATCCAGCTATGGTTGTGCCTTTATCTTGCAGTGAAAACACTCCAGGTCTTGTTGGGGTTCAGAGGGTTAATTGGAATCAATGCTATCAAGCTAAGCTAACAACCTCAGCTTTTTTTAAGTGGAAGTCACAGGCGGACGGTTAGCTTGCAAAGCACGTTTGCCTCCTTCAGCTCCAATTTCATCTTTTTTTTAATCTTTTCTCAGAGAGGATTTCAGCTCTAATGGATTGTCATAAATAACTATAAAATCATGCTCTAAGTGCAAAAGTGAACACCGAAAGACGAAACACAGACATCCAGCGTCGGTATTAACAGAGATTCAAAGCATAGAGCCGACTTTAAAAACGACGGAGGGAGAACAGCGTAACTCGTGTGGTTGCTTCTCTATAGGTAGTTGTGGTGCAAGTGTTTTGGCTGCGGTGAGAGAACATCTGCAAAACGGCAGTCATGAGGCTAATTGTGATGGAGCTAACTCATCACATTGGCACCTGCACACACACACACACACACACACACACACACACGCTCTCTCTCCGGTGATTGCACATCCCTAAATGGATTGTGGAAAACACACATAAACACAAACTTATCCTATCATGCGTGCGGTTTAATACAGTTATCTCCCTACTGGAGCAGCAAAAAAAAATAAGTGTTCCTGCTCCAAGTGACATCAAGACCAGCTTGACCTACGACTAAAATCAGCTAAATGAGGCTAATTTCAGAGCTGAGTAATAGATTATCTCTAATAACGTTAACAATGCATAATTCGGCCAAATCCCAGGCCATGATTAAACTGTCTGTAGTTTTTTTTTTTTCAGCCGGGGAGGAGCACAGCTCGGAGCCACAGGTGCAGCGCAGCAGTGCTGAGACACACCAAATCACTTAGCAACCACTTTGCCTTATCACCCAGCAGCCACCGGGGTCCTGTTAGTGTATTAGCAGGGTATTCAGCTCTTTTCATTAGTGCCCCTGGCTCATATCTGCTTTCACCTGGGTCACAGATGAAATTATTTTTTCTCCCAAAAAAGGGAAGATCAGATTGCATCTGGGGTTGTTTCTTTTTTTTCTCTTCTTCTTCTTTTTAGCCATGGCCCTTTAAGTCATTTCAGTTTATCAGTGTACTTCACAGGCTTTTTTCTTTTTTTTCCTTCATCACTCTCACAGAGCTGTGGCGGTCGCCGCGTAGGGAGAAATCCTATTTACGTTCTCCTTCATGGCAGGATAAAAACTTCCAGTGATCGCCGGGGACTGAGTCCAGCTCCGTTTCATCGGGCCGCTTAAGATCCTCAGAGCTTAAACATCTTTATTTAACAAAAAGTCCACACAAAAAAAACTGGACAGTCGCACCTATAGCCGTAGTTTATCATATCTCAGCTTACTTTAAGGTCCATGAGGAAGTTTTGCACCTAAAAGGAAGCCAGATGGGTGATTTATGAGTTCTTCTGTAACATGCAATGTAACGTTCCTGTAGATTTAAGGGCTTTATTCCATCCCTACCGGTGCACAGATCGGACTTCTGCAAGCTTCATTTAGACAACAACGCCCAGAGGAGGCGGCCGGACGCCAGCGTTTGGGATTTAAAATGATACGGTGCTTGCATTTTTCCCAGAAAAACTTCTCCAAGTGCAACTTTGTGTTTTTGTTTTGTAGCAGCTGAAATGTGTCCCGTCCAGCTTTCAGACTAGTTGGTGCTTTGCTCCAGGGGCCACAGTGTACAAGGGTCTTCAAACACAAACTGCTGCTGCTGCTGCTCCTCGATACCGCGGGCAAACAGCCTGATCAACTGGCACTGGACACTGCAGGGGGAAACACACACACACACACACACACACATACACACACACACACACACAGAGACAACGCATCATTTAGCCTGAATAACAAACCATCAACTTAATGACTATGCTCATTTCTGTGAGACTTTACTGTCCATGTGGCAGATGTAAAAGCAATGGAACGGCACCCCTGTGTGCAGACTTGATGCTGAAACTTGAAAGTGGCGGTCTTGGTGGTGTCTAAAATTAAAGACCTTCTAAAGGGCCGACTGCAGCAGATGTGATAATACAGATGGATGAATGTATATAAACAGAGAAAAAGGGGGCAGTAAACGGGTAAGGTGGCTATTATGATACAGACTCCCTGTGCCTTTGTCTGCAAAATGACACCACCGACACTTAAAAGTACCTCCCATATGACGCAAAGACGCTAAACAACTTTGAAAGTAGGGAAGCATTTTGTTCAACTTATAGCTGCGTGCCGTTTTCAGATGTTCGCTCTAATCATTGCCTTGAGTTTCAATTTTTTTCCAGACGTGCAGTTTTCACTTCTCACTCTTCCGTTCCGACTTTCTTTTCCGTTTCGCCCGGGCTATTACCATTAATTATCCCAGCGGCCCTCTGGCTGGCTCACTCCAAGAACGATTAGCGGCGAGGAAGAGGCAATAAAAGGACGGACTTCTGCTTTAATTAAAGGGGAGTAGCCTTTTAACATGTGGAGGGACGTTAAATTAGCAACATTACAGCGCCATGCATCATTGGCAAAGTACAATGGAGCATGAAATAAATGATGCGTCAAGCCGTGCCACACCGGCTGTATAGAGATCTGATAGTGGGGGAAAGCTGAAGTGTGGACAGGGCCAGAATAATGAGGGGTGTTGGGTGGGGGGGGATAATTCCACAGAGTTGCCAAGATTGTACAGCAGGGAGCAGTGAAAGATTCTCCTGACCACAGACGAGCAAGCGCTAATGGCACTGCTGCTCTCATTTCTGTCTGGCTACATCGGAGAACTTCTTTATTACCGGCTAACACCAAGCGTCAACATGGCTTAGTTTTCCTTGACTGTTCATATACTGAACTTTTTGCACGTAGTTGCTGCAGATAATCAAATTCTTTACCTTCCTTTTCCTGCTTCCAAACTGGCTGTAACCCAAAAACCTTCAGTTGGGTTGAAAAAACATGGTATTGTTAAAAATGAATTGCCAAAAATACACCATTTAATGCCAAAACAGAAGGAACTGTGGGGTTTTCATCTTCCCAATGGTCCTTGAAGTACTCATGGAGTTCCACTGGGGGAAAAAAAATCCATCTATCCAATACTGTAGAACCACAAATCTAAATCTCATCCTAGCAGAACTGCCGATATCCGCACCAAAGTTCACGCCAGTTCACTCAGTAGCTTTTCAGATATTTCAGCGTCGATCCAGGCGGTGGCTTAAAGTTGTATGTGTGAGTTTTCCTCCGGCGCGCTGTGAATACAGAGCTGTCAGGCGCACAGAACAAGATCTGTTTCTACTTAGGCTTTAAGACATGATACTCAGGAACATTTGAGGCAATTTAAGCTAAGATTACAGCCTAATACCCGAAAGGAAAGTCCTTTTTCCGTGAATATCCGGACCACGCTGATGCAATAGGTATGAGCTCCGCGGGCGTCTCCGATGCTTCTTCCATTATACTGCTTCCACAATATTATGTGCGTCGATTCAAAGCCATTTTCCAGTTCTAATCTATGCTCAGAGCAATCCTGCCTGCCTGTCTGAAGGTTCATTTTTCGATGCGGGGCTTCATAAAATCGGAAGAATTATTGAACTGTGCCAATCTGGAGCCGGAAAGCATTAAAAAGTCATACACTGTATATGGGCGGAACATTCATCATGACTGGTAAATAACAACACATTTGAGTTGTTGAGATGTTTCTTCTGCGCCTCAGTTCGACTATTCTTGAGCAACTTTCTCACTGCATACCCAACAAAACCTGCGTCAACAAGCCCTACGCTGGATTCACAGGTGGTTCCTTCCTACCTGACTTGAATGGCGGCGTGAGGCAGGATCTCCCCGTCACAGGTCCAGCTGCTGTGGGCGGCGCTGTAGCTGCAGGTTGTCTGGGCGGAACATATGGGGCTGAAGGCTTTCTTCTGCACAGGCTCGCTCAGGTCTTCCAGAGAAAGCAGCTCGTGGTGTCGCGGCTGGAAACGAAACTTCCTCACCCGGTGGACCTCCACAAATGAGTGGTCAAACTGAGAGAAGGGAGGCAGAGATGGATGAGAAATGAGATGAAAGAGAGGAGGAGGTGGACGGACGGTCAGATGGATGAAGGAGCAGATGCTCCACAGATGGTGTGAAGGTTAAGATCTTGAATCACTTGTTAGAGCTTCATTTTTTTTATTTTTTTTTAAATGAGCAGGACGGCAGGCTGAGAGGATTATTTCTTTCTTTTTTTGTGCTCCACAAAATTAATTGTATTTTGGAATAAAGTGCTCTTTAGAGTTGAATGCAAGTGGTGTTTTTTTTTATGGCTATCATATTGCCCGTGTTTCCACAAGGGTGCTTTCATCAGAGGGTTACGAGGAATCGCATAGAAGTGATAAAAGCACACGGCTGAAGATGTAAGCCAACCTTTAGGAAAATTAAAGATTTTACTGCCTCAGAATGAAACGCCACTATTTAAAAAAATTACAGAGCCAGGTCAAACCAAGGTAACGCACATTAAATGCTAAAGGGTGTTGCTTATTTTGGAGTTTTTAATACTGAAAAATAATCACTTGGATGCTTCACTGTGCGATTTTCCTCTCATTTCTTCATTTCGAACTCAAAACCAAGGGTTCATTACAAAAGATGCATCACACATATTTGGTAGATACGTTTATTAGAAGTCGCATAGTAAACAGTTTGGCATTTAAAAGCCTCAAATTGAACTTAAACCATTCAATTTTGCACAAAAATGGCACAGAAAATGGATAGAGTGCCATATTTCTCTCAAAAATGATGATTATTACGGCGTTAAAATGATTCTTCACATGCAATATTTTTCAAAGTTTACAGTCTCCTGGTGGGGAAGGTAAAAAGTTAATTCCTCTTAATGTGTTTTTATGGAATCCTGCTGGTTTTATAATGAAAAAACAAAACTACAGTGAAGGGTTGTTCTTTTCTTCTTTTTTTTTTCCCGCGCTGGTGAAAAAGAAAAACTGAGAACAGATGCAAAAGAGAGGAGGTCAGATAACATGGAGATGCATAAAAACTGAGCATCGGAGGAGAAGAAGAAGAAAGAGATGAAAAGAAATTATTTTGTCAAAATCCCCTTTCATCTCTCTCGGTGTCGCAGAAAGGTTCAGCTCCGTCCGGCGCACTATTTTCTTCGGCTTCACGGGGTGCCACTCTCTCGATTCTCTCCTCTTTCTCTTTGTTCTTTCTTTCTTCCTCTCGCTCTCCTTTTCCCCCCACTCTCTCTTTCTCATCCTGAAAGCGGAGTGACAGCCATTTATTTCACATCAGACCCACTTTATGACTGCAGCCGCTTTGCATTCATGCTGGCCGATCTGCCTAAAAGGCTTTCTGACAAGGCCATGAATACGCTTAGTGGCTTCTCACTCCTTGTTTCTCTTCGCTTGGCTGGACAGTGATGCTGATATTAACCGAACTCTGATGCAAAGTCCCGCTCGCCCTGCTCATACGACCGCTTGTCTACCTTTTCTGTGTTGCAAGTGAAGCAGCAAAGACGGCCCGACGCTGGAGACGCACCATGCTGTGACGACAGGCCGACATTTTTTCGGGAATCTTGCGGGTCATCGGATTCATGTGGGATTCCCGCGAGAAGGGCGAAGTGACTTTCACTTTTCAATGTGTAAATGGGACACGACAAGTAAAAACAAAGTCAGTGGGAGTGGTCAGGAAGGGATTTATAGGTTGGTTTTTATACATAAATGTGCAGTTCGAAAATTAATAAATGCTGTTTTGGCGATAATGCTAGTTGTTTCTTGATGGTTGGTTGGTGTTGACAATACATGTTGCATTCAACAATGCAGTCAGAATCAGAGTAGGTGAGTGCAAGGTTCGATCAAAAAGTTCTGAGACTGAGACCAAAAAATGCTCCTGATCTAAATTTGGCTGCCATCCCTGTCAAAGGAGTCGCCTTGTGCAGCGACACACTGCTCCCGGTGCTCCTGCATCACTTGCAACAGTCCCTGAAAGTCCTGTTACGTAAACTTGTCAAGCAACATCTGCGACTCTTCAAGTTGAATTTCATTTTGGGGAAGAAGAAGAAGAAGTCTGTTGAGTACGTCTGGTGCGCTGTAGCAGCCACATGCCACAGTTTAGGTGACCTGAGCAAAATATTCTCTCTGACACAGGTTACAGTAGAGATTTGCTTTTACTTTCAGACTCTGGGGGTCAAATTCCTCGTGCACAACCGCATGAACGTGGAATAAAACTATGAGCATGCTCCCAGTGCCTCTTCGTCTGATGTGCCTTGTCCAATTTGAGAAACTGTGGGTTCTTAAACTGTAAAAACTGCTGTTTCTTCTGTGGATGGTAGCTGCAGGACCACCTCTCATCACCAGTTATGATCCTCGGCATAAATATTGTCCCGTCCCAGCTGCTGACTGACTCAGAAGGTGACGCTTTCTTTCCTGATCCAGTTTAAGATCCACGGGGCCCAAGAATTTCCTTCGGGATTAATACAATTTTATCTTCGAGAGAAATCGCAAATCTACTAGTGGTCACACACTGAGCTAGGTGTTCACAACTGGTTATAGAAGCTCTGTCAGTGTGAGACATGGATCATTGTCCTTTGCATTGCAGAGATGATCTTCTGTGAATGTCACGTCAACCCTATTCTTAGCATTTAGATATTGGTGCGGCACATTAATCTGCACGTCATGTACAAGGTGGCTGCAAGCATCCAGCAACAAGACACAAGTGGGGGAAAAAAATTATTTTAAAAAGAGTAAAAAAAAGACTTCTATAGGGTTCAAAATGAAGACAGTAGTGTTTATTCATATCCAAACTGCATATGTATTTATAAGAGTAGTGAAATTGACTTCCGTCTTGCAGGAATCCCACAGGATTCCCCAAGAAATGTCAGCCCCTAGACTGGATCAAAGCAGTGAACCAACCCACTGATGCTGCCATCCATTGGTCCCTTTCCAATTTTCCAATTGTGTCTTAAATGGATACAGTCACATCTTGCTTCCGACTCCCAGCGCTGGTATTCTGGGGGAAATCCTCAATTGTCATGAAGTAATTTTTAAGCCCTGAAATGCGGCAGCATCGCCAGGGAAAGTTGGTAATTTGATTTTGCCCATGCACATTTCATTTAGTCATCTGGATGGTGAAATATTTAATTGGGACTGTAGAAACCCAGGGACATGCTTCATGTCACACAGAGCAGCACAATCTTCCCCCAAGCCTCACTAATAGCAACAGCTTCTTTTTTTTATATATATATTTTCTCTGTTGAACTGTTTTGCCTTCACTGTATCCTCTAAAGTTTAAAGCTGCAAATATCCTTCATCTACTGAAATCGTATTACCAAACAATATTCATCCTTGAAGTCCAAATGCTGGAGGCCCGAGTAAAAAGGATGATCTCCGACTTAAACTCACCTCAGTTAGCCATTTCACACCTTCAATACGGCAGCTACTGGAGATGAAATTACTTACAAGATCCCTCTAAATGGGATAAACTTGCAGAGGTCCTTCCTGAGGTAATAATTACTAATCACCAGTCTTCCCCTGGTGATGCTGTCCTGTGAGGGCATTAGTCTGGTATCAGCCTGTTCTCCCGTACAGCATATCCCTGATGCAGCGATTACCGGCGCCTCTCCGGACCAGGGTGGAGGTTATTTATGATACGTGGGAAGGCACAGGGGCTAAGGCATTTGAACTAAAGTGAACCATAGTTAAGAAATAGAGCGGAGTCAGCTAAAGGGAGGTGCTAGCACAGCAAGTGGGCAAACGCTGCCTTCTGCTTCACACACTCTCATTTCATCTGTGCACAGATTGAGAAACTCGTGATGTTGAACGCTACACTCTGCAGTAAAGTGATTGACGGAGGGGGTGGGGGGCCTTTTTGAGAAGGATGAAATTGTCTTAAAAGTTCTGTTAAGTTTTTTTTTTCATTCTTTGAAGAGGAGGTTTCTTTTATCCCTACTGGATCCAAATCACATTAATCTTCCCAGCACACTCCAATTCTGGAATATTTTGCACAGCGTGACTCGTAGACGGCGTTAATTTACACTTTAGGAGAAGGAAGTTAAAACTAATTGGGGTTTGTTCCAGTTTCGGGTTGCTAGAAAGTGCTGCAAAATACCTGGTCGTCTTTGTTGGTGTGTCGGAGGAGGTGTTTGAAGAAGTCCAGGCGGGAACACTTCCTGACCAGGATCAGGTCCGTGGTGCCGTCGGCGAGGTGGGCGGAGGGCGACAGGCCTTTTGGACTCCGAGGACACGCGCAGCTCATACTGGCTGCGTTAATGGCAATGAACTTTCCATGGATAGTGGTCCAGCCACTGCTGCAACCTGGAACACAAGAGAATGACGAAAGCTGCAGTTTACTACACATGACTCAACTAGAGTGGAGTACAATTTAGATTAGAGCAGCTGAGGTCATCTCTGCCCTATATACAAAGTACACAGTAGGGTGAAATTGCTTGTCTTCAGTGCAAGGATGCAAAACATCTTCTAAATCCGTCTCTGGGAAATCTGGAACCACCTGTGTTTGACCTCTAAACTCAGTCAAAAGTTCAAATCCTGCTTCTACCCCAGGATACGAGGGCAAACAACAAGGGATTATCCACAAAATGCAACTTGACTTGCTGTGTTTCCTATCAACACAGAGGAAACGTAGATGTATCCAGAGCATTCAACAGAAAAGGCAGCCAAAGACAGACAGTATTCAAAAAAATTCAATGTCTCAGCTTGGCTGGGCTGATGTGATTTCTCCTCTCGGTTATTATCTGCCCTGGTTTTGAGAAGACTCTCTCAGAGGGAACAGATGTTTCCACAACACACAGTCTCCCCTCCATCACCTTCACCAGGTGGGAGAAGACTGAGGCCTTGGCCTGACACCAGCTCAGTGGGTCTACTGCTCTTTGGATGAGGGGCTCCTTAAGATAGCATCACATCTCCATTACAACATCAGCTGTGGCACTAAATCCTCACATGTGATTGGCCACAAGGCCGCCATGCTGCCAATCAAAACAAAGCTCTGCCGTGAGCTGAGCTGAGCCACTGAGCAGTGGAAAAAAAAGGTCGGGAGCCGGCTCTCACTCGATGGGAGTCGGCTCTTCTGATTCGCATGACACATCACTACTGTCTAGCTTTACTTCTCTAAAGGCAAAAAGCCCAAAAAATATATATTAAAAAAAAAAAATTGGCTTTAGGTTCTGTTCCCAGTATGCATGGTTAAATTGGTTTAATACAACTTGTCGTTTGTGGGTGAGCTGGTGTGCTGAGCTGCAGCGAGCGGTGGAGGGTTAGAAGTGGGTGCTTCAAAGATCTGCAAATTCTAGAGGAGGCAAAGTTGTAAAGTTCAACTGTTTTGGATTTTATCAGTCCATTAAACGGCCATGATTGCCGATCATTACCGTACATATAAACCACCTGGGACCTTCTCCTTCTTCTAGTAGACTCAATAGGCCATTTAATGGAGCCTAGTTAACACCATATGTACTGGCAGTGGAGACATTTACAAAGAGGAACAAAAGTCCACATTAAGTTAGTCAGAAAGAAAGTGGATTTTCACCCAGCAGACATTTCCACCTCCAACCATTATTATAGTACGATTGTCTTAGTTTGACTAATTTTAACACAGTTTTTCCACTTTGTTTACTTGCGTTCTGTATTTGGTTAGGTTTAGGCACCAAAACTACTTGAATAAGTTTAAAAGATGCTTCTAGTTTGGGTTAAACTACAGCCTGACGTAACATTTGTAATTTTACAAAGCTCCATTTGGTACATTTCAAGGGTTCACATTTACAAGCACTTCTGCACGAGGTTGTCAGTGTTATTGGTGTTACTTCCTGTTTATCATAATGGATGAGAGCACACCTCCTGGTTCACTGGAAGATAAAGGAGGTCCCTCTGACTCATATGTACGGAAATGATGCGCAGTAATATCGGCCTTCTAAGGGGCTGATAGTCAGAAATGTCTAAATAGATAAATTTGAAGCACATTTTTAAGGGTTACATAAATGACTTTAAGCTTAATACTGACTGAACTACTCTAAGCTCAACACTAAATCAATTCCTTAACTTGTAGCTCCCAGATGTCAGCATCTGTCCACTTTAAACCTATCAAACCTTGGGCTCGACATCATTTCCAATATTATTCCTCTGGCTGCCAAATCTTGAATTGCATTATAATCACACAATTGAACCACCCTGAAGGGCTCCAAGCTGACGGTTCTGTGTTCTCCAACTACACGAATAACCAACTTACTCTTTTTTTTATTTGAGTACTCTCCAAGTAAAATAGGATAAAATAGCGCTGAACAAGACTTTACAGAAGGCTCCATTCATAACTGTTACCTGTAGCTCTTCATAGAACTGAATGTTAAAAGATTCCTCTTTTGAACGTCTATTTCGGAGCTTTTCTAGTTTACTTTAAGTCTTCTTCTTTCACTGCAACATTCAAAAGCCTCCGTCTGACATTAACACTCGAACAACTGAGCAAATCTCGAGCCGCGGTGAATATCATTTACTGCGATTTCACCGTATTCAACGGCAGCTTTGCCACATTTGCAAATATGCCACATTTGATTTTAGTTTTTCCTTCCAAGCCTTCAGCTACTTACAATTTAGATAAGAGAGATGTACAAAAAAAAAAAACAGAAAACAACCCTGATTCCTTTCAGCTTGCTGTTTGGCTTTTCCAGTAGCGCCGACGTCAGAGCGAAACAAACACTGTGTATCATCAGGAACGTGGTTTTGAAATTATACTGTGCATTCTGCAAGTGCTTTATGAGTCCTGGGGTTAAGTTCCAAGCTTGTCACACAACAGCAGTGATGCTGATGAGGGTCCATTAAGATCCAGATGTCTTGGCAGCAATTCTCAGTGCAGCTTTACCCCGATGATTGAGCCAAGATAGAAACTTTCATGCTGACGTTAAAAGCCGAGTGTTCTTCTTCTTCTTCAAAACGCAATTAAGTTTGGGCAAGGAAGAGTTCACAGTATCTAAGGAGGAAGTCTGATAGATGGAAGACTGATTGGATTAACCTTAAGTTTGCTTTTCACGATTGAGCGCACACGTGGCCTCCGGATCTCCAACGACAGACGTGACGGTTGCACTTCACAAATCAGCGCTCTGTTCCTCGGAGATTAGCGGCTGTTTACTTGTATGGTGGTGTATCAAAGACGCGGTGCTATCACCCACGGGACCGCCGGCGCCTGTCACCGGGGCGATAGTCGCCACGAAAAGAAAAAAAAAAAAAAAAAACGATCACAGACGTCCAAATTAGCATCTGACTGTTTTACGAGCACCTCAGAGGGAAAATTATGTGATCGCAGAAAGCAAAACGATTCATTACCTTTCCCCCTCATTTCGCAAAACAAACTTACAGAGGTGATAGCGCAAACCAATGATAACAAGCCCGCCGAGGCTACATAAAAACAACAATGTTCTAATTGGGGAGGCGGTGATTAAAGCTAAACTTTGGAGTAGAAAAAAAAAACGACAAAAAAAAATCCAACTGTGGACTGTGGATTTGGAGAATGTTTCCAAATGAGTATTTGCTTTTGCAGGAGAGAGCTGGCTCATTTGCAGAGAGGGAGTGTGTCGTGGCTCATTGATTTAGCAGTTGTCTGAGATTTCCCTCACCAGAGAAGACGGGGAAAAAAAACAAAAAACGCTAAACAAACGGCAGCACTGGCGTGAGGCAAACCCCCTGTCAGAGCTGGCAGAGCCAAATTTCTTCCTGATTAGTGGGAGTCTGTCACACGGAATACACAAACAAACAGGTTACGCTTGCTTTCATATTTACACAGGCAAAAAAATATACATACACACACACTCTCTCTCCATAGGAACAGACAGTCTTACATAGCCAAGGCCAAGACTGAAAATCTTGAATTTAACATCACGACACTAATTGGGTAGGAAGAAAAACACACACACGAGAGGCTGTATTTCATCTGCCTCCGGAGGTTTGTGCTGCTGCTGCTGCATCGGTGGCTTGAAAGGACTGTAGATAATAAAGAACGTGTGGTCGGGAGGTGGCGTCGTCCCACTCGAAGGGCCGACAGATTTCGGCTCTCGTGTAATCTCATCAAGCAGGCAGCTGAGGTGGATGCTGAGAGATTTGGAAAATCGATGGGCAAAAAAAAAAAAAAAAAGAGGGCACGACAGGGGAGTTGTGCAGTGTCACTAAAATTAGTTTATATTTTCTCGTCAATAACTCATCAAGAATCTCATCAAAAATTTTGCCATGCTGCGGGGAGAAAAATAACCCCAACACGAAAATGGAGATGGAGCGAGATTTGAGGAGGAGAAGATGACGCTGTTATTTACACTCAGTCCACCTCAGGTACTTAATCTTCCCCCCTCCTTCCACAAGAAAAGCAAAAAAAAAATGGAGAAAAATGCAAATCTCCCCTGTTTCATGTGTGCGACTTCAAGGGGAAGAGACATCCAGCGTGGGATTGTCTCATCTCCTTTTGTTTTTCCTGTCCTTATTCTCAAACTTCACCCTTTAAAAATGCTAATTTTCACACATCTCAGAAGTCTGGAAATGGTTTCAAAACAGACAAGCGAGCAGATAATGAGGTAGAAAAATGAAAAATACACTTTTCCGCGCGATTACGTTGGCATTTTTCGAGTAATAAACCCGGGCTCGTACCTTTAGCAGACTTTTCTTTCTCGTCTGACATCTCGCCGTGCTGGTCGTTTGATGAGGGCTTGTGCTGACAGATGCGGCACCTGAAATATCAACGTAAACTTGTTTTACAATCAAGCCATCAGCGCTGCTGTGACATTCAAGGCTTTAACAAGCTCAAATGATTCATTAGATGGGAATAAATTCAGTTTATCCTAAATTGACTTGTGTTTGGCTATTTAAATATTAGCAGCTTTTGTTGGAAACACTCAGAGACATCTCTTGTAGCACATCACTTTATGGTAAAATAAGTTGTCATGCCACAGAATAATGGTTTTCAGTCCCAGTAACAAATGCAAACAATGTCAAACCACTTAGTCAAGTGCTTTTTTTCAGAAGAGAATGAATAGGCTTTCAGTCCACAATAAATTAAAAAGGCTTCCTGACAAAGTCAACTATCCCATTTGAGCTCTGGCAGCTGCAGCAGGACATTGTGAAATAGTGCCGGAGAGCTTCACAACATCACTGATCCTTTATTTACCCGGATCGACACTGCAGCTTGTCCCTCGGACTCCCCAAGTTGTCCTCGGCGGGGAGGAAAGAGACGGTGCCTTCGTAGTAGTTGTGACTCAGGAAGGTTTTCACGCCTGCAAACGAAAGCGCAGGATGAGCCCCGGAACGTCTGCCGATGTGTTTTATTTGTTGTGTTTAATTCAACTTAGATTATACCTAACAAGATAATTACAAGTAGAATTCTTTAACAGACACGTCTGAATAATTAACGGGATCATGCAACCCGGGGGCGCCTTTTATCATCAACACATAGACGCTGATTTGTGCTTGTACCCTGCATACGCTGTTTTCAACAAATTCTGCTGTTTCACACTTATTTAATTGCAGATACAACAGCTCCTATACCGAAGCACTGATAAATTGCAGACACTGTATATAAAAACGAACGTAGCCTCCAAGATGCCTTATACCTGCATTGTTTCTAACAGCCAGCAGGGGGCGACTTCTGCTGTTGCAAAAAGAAGTTGGACTATGATAAGTCAGTTACAAAATGACCCTACTTATGGTTTGATTTGTTATCGCAGTAAAACTTTTCCCTAATGAGTTTATGATCTCATTAGCTTCAAGGTTTTTTGACTACAGGATGATGATCATTTAGTAAATTATGGTCTCATATTGAGGAAAATGGTCAATAAAGCAGACATCCTTGATATAAAGCTACCTTGTGACTGACAAGCTGTTTCAAAAGAGCAAGACGGTCTTATTCCAAACTCAAGGTTTCAAAGTAGTCCACAAATAAATACTTCACATTCTCTATGTCCATCTTATATGTACAGTCTACAATAAATTGCTAAATATTTGTCATTTATTTGGAAAACAGGTTTGTTTCTTTTAGACTGAAATTACACAATATTAACTCTCTGCACCCCAAAACCTGCTGATCTAAAGGGCATGTTGTCTTGTTGACATTTCCTTTACTTTATTCAATTGTCTCATTTAGAATTTGTCAAAGATATACTACTTCGAAACCCTAACCTGTGAAAAAAACAAACAAAAAGAAAACTCAAGAAATTCAACTTTCTTCATGGTTGATGACATTAAAGCTTTCTTGTCCTGCACAAAAGGCCCCTTTTTAGTTCACTCTCCTTCTAGTCATGGTTGTACTGTCTCCATAGAGGTACAGGGTTTTAGATTGCAGTGAAAAATGAGCCCAAAAAATGTGACAGGAGCAAAAAAAAAAAAAGGCCCAAAAACTTCTTGGTGTTCATTATCAGGACTCTTGTGGCCAAGAGGCCCTAATGTCCATGTTTTAAAAAGCTGATTCTTTATTTGACTATCAAATTAAGTGAATCCCGTTTCACTTGTCCCCTTGCTGCATCTATTTTCATGTATTTTTGGCCAAACCACTTGAGTTAAGCTAAATTTCATAAGACAGAATGTTTGTACAGTCAGGAGACGTGACCAATGCCATGTGCCGAACATGATTTGTAATCGGACTGCACTGGAAGACACGGTCCACTAGTTTGGCTCAGACTGGACCATCTCATCAAATATTAAATGGAGTTTCGTGAATTTTCGTTCTTATTTGTCGTCAAAGAGATGTGTTGACCGTTCATGACATTTTGGGGACAGTTCTGTTTGTCTGTAAATCAGCCGTTATGTGCACAAGCTGCTCGATTCCGAAGTAGTGGGTGTGTAAAGGTCTGAAAAATGCCAACTTTCTTGTTTGCATGTGCAGTTCCTAAGTGCAGTCTTCACACACGCGCTGATAAAACTTTTTGTGGCTCTGAATTATTTCCCTCTGGTCAGTCGGCCCCAGTTTAATTTCGTCTGATTTCTTATCTTGCACCATCGGGGTGGAGGCCAATGTTTGTTTGTTTATGAGTATTTATGTGCAGCCCCATTGGGGAGAGAAATCTTGGTGGTGTTAGTGAGCCTGTTGGTGTTAAGTCTCACTACAGACCTACACAAAAGCTTTCACTGAATCCACAAGCCCCAGGCTGTAAGTTAGATTTATATCTTTAATCCTCCAAAGTCTGGAGCCGGAGCAGAACCAGGGAGAAAGCTCACAGCAAAACAAGCTGGTGTGAGGTCAGTAACCTTTAAGGAGAGTGAGTAACTTTAGGAGTAACTCGGGCTTAGAAAATGATGGCCCACCCACCTGACAGGTCATATCTGGCAGGACCAAGCCACCTCTTCCTCTCGCTGTCTGTCAGCAAATCGCCATAGAAACCGTAACCAAGCAACGAGACGGAGAATCTGAGGAAGCTGTCGTTGTGGTGAACTGAGCAAACGTCCATCGGCTGAGAATCACCTGTTAAGACACACGTGGTGGAGTCAAAACATCACCTTCGGCACACAAACACGGACGCGATGCTAAAACCGGCCGCTGTAATAAGTGTTCAAAGGTTCATGGCTTCTCGCACAGTGGCGATAACATCAGATAAAAGTGAAACAGGATGTCTGAGCACTGAGATAAAGGAGAAGTGCTGCAAGTTTATTCAGTAACTTCCACTCACCCACGATGATGTGTAAAGCAGAAGTGACTGGGTCATTGGTTCCCACTGTGGCAAAGCAGATGCAATCAGTCGACCCTGTTGGATAAGACAAACAACGGTCAGAGGTCAGCTGCCGTAGTCCCGGTGCTAACATGATTAAAAACTCACTTCATGACTTTTTACCTCAATTTAGAGAAAAGACTTTAAAATGTTGTTGGAGAGCAAACTTCTAAAACTTAAAACCAGCTCTTTAATGCACAATGTTCTTGGCATTTCTTGATGGTAGCGTAAAAAAAGACGCCTTAAGATGCAAATTGGAACCAGAGACACCGACATGGACAAACACATAGCCACCAGCTTCCATTTGGATTGCCTCAATTTTCCACAAACAAACTTGTGCCACCAGAAAAACACGTAAGATCACGTAACTGTTGATTCATATGTCCTTAAAATGCCACACCAATCATCCACCACATTAAAACCACTGACAGGTGAAGGGCATAACATCGATCATTACGTAACAATGACATTAGTTTGACACGTAAAATCCATCTAAATATCACTGATGTGATCGAGCACACACCCCCATGACAACAGCAGCTCAAGATGGCAACAGTCAGCCTTGCCACACCACAAAAACTACCCAGGAATGACTCAAGAGATGACAAAGAGCCCAAGGTGTTGCCCTTTAAATTCTTCAGAACCCAATCTGATCGAGCATCTGTTGGATACGCCAGAACAGGCTCCATCCACAGAGGCCCAGCCCTGCAACCCATAAGCCCAAAATGATCCACTGCTGACATTTTCATACCAGTCACCAGAAGATACCCCAAGAGGTCCACGCCAATGGCTCTATGGGTCAGGGTTGTTTTGGCAGCACAAGGAGGTTCTACACAACATTAGGTGATAGTCAATCGGGCTGATCGGTGCATTTTTGAAATACGGTACCTACTGGGATATGAGGATGCAGGCACAAAGAAAGACTTGGCTTTGTGAGGCCATACAAGCTGTAGCCATGGACTAAATGCTAATGTCAGCATGCTAACAAGTTCAACAGGCAGCTGTCCATTGCAGGAACTTGGGTTCGGTACGATATGGCACAAACATTTACAGGAACTGGCTTATAATGGACCAGTTCATCTGTTTCTACTGCTTTCTAGAATCGAACAGCTTCAACCCTGATGTTGTGCAACAAATAAAAACACACAGTAGTCGTTGGACTTCTTCATGAGTGGTTCTTGCATTCGGAACATACACGGAAGTTTAGGTCACCCTAAAACAGCCTGCATGCCGATGTTTACCACATTTCTCATATGAGTTTACCATGTTGGCCTGCTATCAGTGAGAATCCAAAAGTCAGGTCATGAACCGAACTGCCAGGGACGCCAATTGCTTTTCCATTACACATTCTATTATGGCATTCATTCTTATGTAATTTTGTTGTCTGGGCAATATGTTCCATCCGAAGTTCTGTCTTATCATATGTTCCATTACACTTTATTGGCTGTCCCATTGGTTTATACAGCGTGTGTCATTGATAAAATTATTGATACTCCATTTATAGAGCTCTTATCAAACCAAAGTTACAAAGGCAGCAAAATAAAGACAGGACAATCAGGAATAGCTCTGCAATAAAAGTATGCTTTAAAAAGGGCTATAAAAGAGGTCACTGACTTCCAACCTGATTTCCTTGAGCAAATCATTCTAAAGCCTTTGGAGCCTTGAGTACAAACATTCTGTCCCTTTTAGTTTTCTTCCTGGTCCCTTGAACAGACAATAGACCTCTGTCTGAGGATCTGTGCTTAAAGTGCATATCCCGGCATACAGTACTAAGAGGTCAGAAATATACAGTCATCAACAAAAGTTTTTATACGTGGAAAGTTCTGCGGTCACATAAAACAAAAATGTAGCTATTTAGCCACTATGACCAGAAATAAGTTTGAAGGAAAGAAGGTGAGGCCTTCAACAGCAAGAACACCAAACCTACTGTCAAGCATGGGGGTGGCAGTATCATGCTGTGGGGCTGTTTTGGTGCCAGTGGAACTTCAGCTTTACATGAAGTAAATGAAATAATGAAAAAGGGGACACAGTTGGGTGTTTCAACAAGACAACGATCCTTAAGTCATAATGGCTAAATCAGGTCAGAATTAAGGTTTTAGATTGGTTTCCCCAAAGTCCTGACCCGAACCCAATCAGGAACTTGTGGACTGTGCTGAAAAAAACAACAAAAAGCCAACAAATTTAGTTGAACTGCACCAATTCTGATAAGAGAAGCAGTCAAAGATACATCCAGAAGCTTGTAGATGGCTACCAAAAGCCACTAGCTGAGGGGAAAATGGCCAAGGGACATTTAATCAAATATGAGCATTGCTGTATGCATACTTTTGACCCAACAGATTCTTTCATATTTCCAGAGAACCTCCAATAAATCTACATGTGTCCAGTGACTATATTGTAGAAATTTCGTTGCTGGGGTTCTTTGAAACTTCAGGCTTGCCTTGTTCTCCTTGTTTTTTCCGTTTTTTTTTAACTTTTTTTTTACGACGATAGCTGGGAAAGACACCATGAAGGGCCTTAAGTGAACTATTAAAACCTATCCTTAAACATACAGGAAGCTGGTTTAAAGAGATTGAAACAGATTCTTAGATCTCCACCTTGAACTCTATTGAAAAGGAACAAGTAGGAAAACTACACTTCCTACATTCCAGCATGGGACTGTCCAATGATATGTCATAGTTTTGTTTATTTAATGCATCGGTACCAGTTTGGCCGGTCGAACCATCCCAGTAACCAACATTCACGTGCTTTGAATCGCTTTCTTCCTCCATCGCTGCAACAGATGTGTGTCAAAGATTACAGTGTGAAGTTTTAGTAGTAATGATCATTGCAGGTGAAAATCTACCCTCTAATGCTGCAAATGTATAAATCACATGGTTGGGACTCTTATTCATAAATAAAATCTGTCAGAAAAAAAAAGTCCAGTCATGAGCAGACTTACATGTCTTTCAAAGCTGCAACCAAGTACGGAAAAATTTAGTTGAGTGATTTTATTAGGCGGAAGCAAGGAGACGTCGCAGTCATAAAGTTAACTAATCGGATAGCTCTGGGCCCTGGGCTATCATCAGCTCTCTTCAGCCAACAAATGAAGGATAAGAGGCATCCCCCGCCTTGTGAGAAATGTTGAGCTTGACATTAAATCTTTCAACTTGAGAGGTAATAAGGCGCTATCTCTCTTTTCGGCGCCACATGGCGTAATTTCAGACCTATCTGCCCTACTTTGATCATCTTCGAGTGGTGAAATGGACCTACTGCCACTGATAAAAGGCAGCGAGAGCGAGCGAGAGGGGAAGAGGAGAGAGTGGAAATCTAACTAGTGATGTTTTGAGCCGGCTCACAGAAGCGTGACAGAGGAGATCAGGGCTGTCATTCAGCGGCGGACACACAGATGAGTATGAAGATGAGCCCCCTCTCTGGCTTTTTCTGACTCCCTATGAATATCACTTATCTGGCCTTTGCCTCCTCTCCTCCGAGCTTCATAATCACATCCGAACGCTTTCCAATTGCTCCTGACAGCCCTGCTCTGCCTGCTATTTTGCTGAGCGTAAAAATGGTGACATATGCCATTTGACTCCTCTAAAAACTACTCGGTATAAAAGCCAACCGACTTTGAATGGATGGAACTGGCGCACACAGATGTTCAATGATGTTCAGTCCTCAGATGCTCAATGTTTTATTCCCCCTTAAGTTACTCAACCACAATAGCCTGCTGGCATATTCAGAGGAGACAGCAGAAACTGTCACAAGGCATATCCTCAGCAGAGAAGCCCCAGTTTTTTTTTTTTTTTATCTGCGTATCGTCCCCAAAACTGTCTCGCCAGTAAGATCATGTTGGCAGTTAGATCATCTTTATCTCTGGGACAACAATGGACTCTGGATGCTTTATATTGCTGCCCCCAAAAAAGGCGTATTTTTTGCCATTTGAATCCCCAGCACATGAATGTATTAATGACAGTATCTTATAACGACAGCCTTGAACCCCTTTGAACCAGACAAGCTGACCTTTGATCAACAATATACTTGTTCTTTCATCGGCATAATCTACTTTCAGCGCGTCAGCGTGAACCCAGTTTCCTTTTCAGACTGTAATAGCGAAAACAGGTCGCGTCTCACAGAACATTTGGATAAAAGCTCGATGACAAGGCCACTAATGAGTTCATGACTCCTAATTTGAGCCTTGGCACACGGGACTTTGATGCCTTATTATGACATTGCAGTGACTGACAGCAGTATTGAAGGTTTTATTGATAAACTTATCAGTCAGAACCATGCGGCGCAGATTCAGTCACTGATGGTGACGATACAAGCACATTGTTTTATAGAGAATTAGAGCTCGTGGCTGCAGATAATGGCTCATAGCATATAATACGGGCTATTGTTCGCCATGAATGAAGTTGGAAACTACGTCGCACTCAATGAAGATAAATGACTGACAGGTGCTATTAATGAAACAGAATCATTAGTCTGATAAAGACTCATTGAACATTACTAACCCTCTGAACCATGAAACCTGCTGGTTTTAAAGGCACGCTATCTGTATAAGTTCGCCAAATTGCATCATTTATCAGAGGCAGAAATTGTAAAAACAAACAGAATTGTCAGATTTTCAACTTTTTGACGGTCCTTAAACCACTCGTCTACTTGAAACCGAACCAAACTACGCTTAAAATGATTATATTTCATTAAAAATCATGTTATTTTAGGATTTTTATTTGGGAATTTGCCAAAAACTAACTGCCTAACTGAACAGGCACATGGCAAAAATTCAGGGACTTTGATCTGCAGACTGTGTACATACACAGCAGAAGTATCCAAACAAATAAAAAATGCAATTAGTAAAACATCTACAGTAGTTTTAAAAAAGAATCTCTACAAGTATGAATAACATTTGTGGGCATTTGGTGAATCTGGAATACGTCGATTACACTTTATATTTTTGCCTCGTCTCTCACCAAAACATTAAACACAAGTTAGAATGATTTAATATGCTACAAAAACTAGCTTCTTATGTTTATTTATTATTCATTTAAGCTAATAACGCTAGCAGCTAGAGTGCCCTTAATGCAATGCAGCCAATTTAGTTAATCCAGAGATAACGTTTAGACTATTTTTGGGGGGGGATTGCTGAATAATTAATCGGTTAAAGGGTTGGTTTGATGTTTTTTTTTTTTTTTGGTTGACTACTGCCTTAACAGCTTTCGGCAAACATTACTCAAATAGATGTAAACTGCGTATTCAGTGGGGACTAGCTTCAGCTGTGGATGAACACACATTTGATGCTGCAGTATTACGACAGAGCCGTGTATCGTGGACTGACTTACAATAAACCACAGCGCCCATGTTCACCGTAATGAAGGAACATGCAGCAGAGTGGCTCACTGATGTGCTTTTAATAGTGTTGTTTTTTTAACAACAGTGGGGCTGTCGACAAAAAGAAAAACTCAGAACATCACCAGTGCTATTCTTAAAGCGTACGAGCAGCGCCATTATCGGAGAGTTACGGTTTCAGTTTGCACTCTTGGAAGCAATCTGCAGGAGATTCTACCCATTCATAAAGTCATTTGAAATCAAACAGGCATGGCGTGCGTACTAATTCAATTCATCCGCTTTTATTCAAAGCCAAAAATAAGACTAATCACATCCAATTCATTGTTGTAATTGGCCTTAGAATCATTAGCTGTGTCTCCAGCTGATTCTGAAGCCCCCTCTGCTCGTACCGTCCAGCAGTGCACAGGATGACCCCGCATCGGTCTTCATGCGCTGCTTTTTGTAGCCTCATGAAAATTACAGTGATTTCAAAATGTCGCTCCGCAGGTTTCCATTTACGGCACTTGGAGTGATTGACCCTCTGCAGGCCCCTGGAGGGACCCCCTGCCCTGTTGCCATAGAGACTCTCTTATGTAATCATCAGCAACTCTCAAGTTCAATTTGAATTAGAACGAACAGTTCTGGAGAGTTTTTGTGCTTCTAAGTGTTATTTTTCTTCCTGCATCTCTTATGTAAAGTCAAGGGAAAAAAACTTCCACCATGCAACTTCTATGGTATCCAAGTATTTGTGCAGGTACCTTCACTGGGGTCCTCTGACACTACATGCTAGATTTGTGACTGCAGGACTTTATGATGGAGTCACTTGTGATTTTTGACTGCTGGGAGACACCTGGAATGACCTCAGCTGTGGAGTTACAGCACATGTGTAGGTGGAAGAACAGAATAAGTGAAAGTTTCATCCTTTAGGCAAACCTATCAGATGAGCTTCACACTGTGTCCTACAAAAGTTGCTGCTGGAAAAAAAGGTGTCTGATTATTTTTTCCTTGAAAAAGAAAGCTTTTAAAAGAAAATATTAGTTTTAAGACAAAGACACTGATATTTAATTCTGGGGAAGTGACTCCAGAAGTTATTATTTTTTTAAGTTAGTTGTTTGTCTACAAAAAAAGTAAGAAAAATACCAAAGAATGTAACTCTGATGCATTTATAACTCATATTTGGTCCATTTTTTTTCTTTTCTCTCAAACTTGTGCAACCTAATTCTTAATTTACATTTTGATGTGAGCTGAGTGGTGCAGATTAAGTTGCTCAAAAAGTAGATTTTTGTCAGCATTTGCATTTATTTAGATGAAGCTTAACTTCTCCTAATGACATTAAAAGTTTTAAAGAAATTGTGAACAATAAACTACTTGGGAAAAATAAGATGCGATTTACAGATGCTGCTAAGTGGTTTTCTTAGCCGAGTTAGCTGTTCGCTGTTTTCAATTATTATTATTTTTATATACAATATACTGAGCCATTGGAAGCTGGCCTTGTATTTAAATAACCCATACTTTCTTTTAGCACGGTATGCAGCTTTTTGTTGCACATAAAAGGTAGACTTACAAACAAAGCTCAAAAGTGGGAAAAAAAAGTTATCTTCTCCCACACAAAACACTGCTCTTTACCTGCATGAAACACCTTGTTTTAAGTTCAGGGTTTACTTCTGTTACCCATCGACATCACCATGTAGCACATGTGCATAACGCCCACCCTCAAACCGCTTCTTCAGCAGCTTCTTCACATTATTTTATTACGAGATGCTCCTACTGGGGCGATGTATTCCTGCTTACGGTCATCTGGTGTTACGGTAACGGTTTTGATGGACCAGCTGACCAATCAGAGCACATTGGGCTTGATAAAAGGGGGCCTTTTAAAGAGACAGCAGCTAAAACAGAGCATTTTGGACAGTGGGTGAGAATAGATGCTGCAGCAATGTATAGTATGAGAGATATAATGTGTTTTTTGAACACTAAAGCATGTAAACCTATTGTAGTTGGCTAAAGGAATAAATTTATGAACCTGTAAATGTGCATGACATGGGCTCTTTAACAGACAAGTATGACAGTGCTGCTTGTCTTTTCATCAACTATTCCTTTACAGGCTTTTTTTTTATATATATATATTTTTTGGGCTTCTGCCTTTATTTTAGAGCAGTGGAGATAGACAGGAAAGGGGGGAGAAGAATGGGGAGAGACCTGCAGCAAGGGATCGTGAGTGGGAGTCGAACCCACGACCGCTGCATCGGGGAACTATAGCCCCTGTTCATGGGTCACCCACTCAGCTAGGTGAGCTATAGGGGCGCCCTTCTCTACAGCTTTTAAAGAAATGTCACCCAAACACCATAAATTTGACGTCAGAGATCTTTATCGCTAAATCATGTGACTTAATTATCACGACCCACCTGCAGGAATGATCCCTATGCGGAGAGAACATGGCACCAACTCGGCATCCGGTTGGTTCTGATCCACGCCGTGGTCAGTTTGGGTCCTGCTAGCCAACCCGTGCAGGATCTCGCTGAACATCCCGTCTCCACCGACGCACACCACCCTGGACGGACAAATTAACATCTTACACAAGCATCTGACATGACATTTCTACTATATTACTCCAAATATATGATACAAGCAGCCTGGCCAATTGCGACATCATGCGTTACATGTGATTGCAATAAAGCTCACGTTCACGAGAAAAATAACGATATTTTCAGAAAACCCCGACAATAATGCAACTGGGCAGCAGGTCCAGCCCTTTCATAAATAAGAATATCACGCTGTGCCACCCGGCATTACAGCTTCTTAAGTCTAACTCAAAACCTTACAGAAATGGATCTATAAATTATATGAACTGCACAGTAAAAGCATAATGGACTCTAACCCTGCTCTGGTGGACCGAATATCTGATGAATAGAGGCAGGAATGACGGGGCACTCAGCAGGAAAAAAAAAGCAGGGCCTTTATGTTTGACTATCAGCTGCATTTTGCCCTCACATGCTCCTGTTACTCACAGAACTGAGCACTGATCTTGTACAATTTGAGCTGAAAGCACAACCTTGACTGATGTAAGTAATTTGCAGGTTTGGATTTATTTTACAGTTATTGAAAGTGATGCTAGAGAACAGAATCAGCTGCGTGCCTGAAATGATGCCAGAAATGTGGAAATTCCAACACAGCTTCCACAGTGACATTGGTTTATTATGTTTAAGTCTGACTACGGCTTAGCCATTTCATTTTCATTGAACATTTTACTGTTGGCTTTATATATTGCATCTCTGAAAAGACTTTTTGTGTGGCTATATTGATCTAAATCCTTCCCTGTATATTTCACCAGCGGAGTGCCACAGGGATCAGTGATCGGTCCTTCACTATTCTCCAGCTACATGTTATTTATAGTTTTATCCAAATGACTTTCAGATTTGCTTCTCTTTTATTTTGAGAAACATATAACTCAGAAAATAACATTGTTTTTTCAAAGAAGAAGTCAATTAAACACACAAATCAGAAATTATCAGTGGCTCCGACTCTTCAATTAGTCACAAATGCTGACACTTGAAGTCCTTGCAGAGTTGCAGAAATGTGGAGTCACAATTAAAAACAAGCCCTACATTTATTGCTTTTAAAATCAATACACTGTTATGTATTGGCAGCTGCTCGAAGATGAATGGATCGGCATCATGGTGCCCAGATGATGAATCCTACTGAATTTTGGTGATCCCACTAGTTTGCTAGAGTGGATTTTTGCAACTATTTAATAAATGGCAGCAATATTTGGTACATACATTCGTGTTCCTCTGAGGATGAACTACCATCACCTTGGTAATGCGTCAACAAGAGAATTTTTCAGCTTGACTTATATTTAGTTTTGCGACTGATCACCTAACAAAAATTACATTTCCATCAACTTCAGCTGTACATACCATTTAGTGTTAATTAGAAAACATTAGCATGAAAATATAAGTTGAAATGATGATCCCTTCTGATCCTCAAATAGCAGTGAAATTGTTTTTCTGATGGATGGACATCAAAAGAAGTGGTTTTAAGGTATATTGGTATAATATTTTCAAAATAACCTTTAACGTGGGAGTCATACGAAGGGTTTCTATTAATTTAAACCACAAAAACAGCAAAGAATTATTTTTTCATATGTCAAAGTGTAAGAGAATTGGAATCAGAAATACTTTATTGATCCCTGAACGGAAATATGATACAGTCGCTCGGATTTAAAGACTTAGAAATTTAAGCAGTGGAAAAAACATGAGTAGAAAAAGATGTCCTAAAAATATAAACATAAGTATAAGCCTAAAATATAAAAATGTGCATTGTACTATGAAATACATTTTGGATCTTTGATTAAAGACTCCAACTTTATCTGGAGCTCACATGCTCACAAGACAAAATACCACAAAATCCTGATCTAATGTGAGCATCGGCGGGCTCAGACAGTCAACTCTGTTCACAGAAATGCAGATCGGCGTCTGAGATAATCAGAATAACTCTGTATCAGTAATTACAATCTGACACCACACAACGGCTCTCCATACAAACCGCTAATATGCACTCACTGAAGCAGAGCACATGGCCGAGTCTCCCAATGACTGTATTTAAATACGAGAGTCGACTCCATGTCACAGTGAAGAACCAGAGTTCTCCAGCTTAAGTACTCACCCGTCATATTTATCTAGATTGGCCTCCGTCTTCAAGTGGTCCCTGGCATGATTGGCGCGCTCCGTAACTATGGAAACAAATCAAACGGACGGCATTAGCACAAGTTCAACGAGAGGGAACGCGCAGACAAAATACCCCGACTAGGAACGGCCTCGCTATTAGAGGAATTTTGAAATACAAGACGTGGAAAAGCACACTTTTGAAACATTCCCCCGGACCCCGTCCAGCAGATTGATGCTCGCAAAAGGCGAATGCACAAAACAGCCCAATTCCGCTATTGTATATTAGCCGGCAAAATGAGCCCCTGAGCCCATAGACACAATATTTCAACAGTAAATCTGTTTACGGGACGTATAATACCAGCACAAACACAACCCTTGCAATTCATAGCGGCTGTAGGAAGCCCAGAGTGAATAGTATTCACTGTGATGGACCATCAATACCCCGAGACTATGTGTAGCTGTAGCAAACACTTATTGAATAATAGATGTGTTTGGATACCCAAGCTTATCAACTATCACAGCTTCCATTAAGGTTGCTGGCATGATTAATGGCACTATAAGCCAAATCATATCCTCGCAAGCCTCTTCGGTCCCTGCGAGAGGCCGCGGTGGCAGTAGAGATCTATACGGCGGCCATCGAGACTCATTTTTTATTTAAATCTTGAGGACTGATGGGGACCCACCAATCACGTCGGCGGAGATGCCAGCGCGGCGAAACACCGGAGCCACCTTCTGCTCGTAAATACGCTTTCCGCGCCGCTTTCCGCCGTACGGATTGATGTACACCAGGAGGCTCTTTGGTCGGTCGGCTGCAAAAAGAAAGGATGAGATAGTCATTAAAAATGCGCCATTTTTTCTTATATAAAACAAATGTGTAACTGACAACAGCTTGATGAAGTTTTCATTAACAGGAGACCTTTTTCAAAATGCTCAGTCAAGCTGACTGGTTCCCCCCCAAAACAACGCCGCCGCCCGGAGAAATAAATGGCGTGTCGAGCGACTGTGGGAGGAGTGCGAAGCGATTCAGAGGCACTGCATCATTCGGTGATAAACCTACAAAGTGCTGCGATGGAGAATACTAAATGGCTTGTTTATGGCTGCTGGTGGAGGACTGTGTTTAGGACAACAAACTGGAGATACAGCAGCCGCTCGAAGACGAATGGATCTGGATCAAGTGTTAAATGAGCGCCGAGAAATATAGGGTGCCATATTGTTTGGCAATAAGACAAAAGTTCCATTAGATTGCATAAATGGGTTGTCAATGGGTGATGTAAAGGTGTGGGACAGTGGAGAACAACACCGCCGAAGACACAGAGGCTTCATCCGCACAATAAATGGGGTTAATTTTCTTGAATTGATTCAACCGGCTGAGCCAAACGGGACCAAGCGGAGCGTTTCTAAAGGCTTAAACTCACCTAACAGTCTCGTTTCCACATGTTAGATACACACTAAATCCTGCAGAACCCAATCATGGGATGCCGTTAAGTGAATGGTTTGACCGGTAGCATGCTAACAGATCATTGGAGAAAATGATGGATGATGGGCTCTTCTGTTGGTTTTATATCTTGTGTTGGTTTCCATTGAGGTGCAAAATTAGGTAACAGTGGGGAAAAATGGTTTCCATTGTTAAAGCCTAAATATTATTTTCACTCTCTGTCTTCATAAGCTCTTATAATTACTACTAATAAAACTGTACTTTACACTCAAGTAGGTGAATGATTTTAATATGTTAACACATCAATGAAAAACATATTAAACTCCTGAAATCCTCCGGTCGGCCATTTTTCCCCCAAGCAGATTACGTAAAATCTTTGACAGATGATGTGCTCTGCTGTTTACTTTCATATCTGGAAGGCCTATTCCTGGACGGTAACCTGGACTCGTCCAACAACACGGACGTCCAAGGCAGCCGAAGATGGCTTTCTCCTTTCTACAACACGACGCCTCCATTTCTGTGTTTTATCAGGCTGTTGTTGTCGGCACCATCCTTTACGCCTGTGCCTGCGAGGCGGTGTCGAGAAGAGAAATGCGGGAGGCCACCTCTGTTGTAGGTTTGCCTCTGGGCTGTCCTGGGGGCAGCGTGCAGAAGATACTGCCGAGGAGGATGAACTGATTTTTATGGACAATGGTGCACCTGTTCCCGCCAGCAGAAGAGCTGTTTTAGTAATAGGTCTTGCCTTGAGTGAACTTCATTCATTATTTACATTTTAAGTGAAATTTGGAGGTTTGTGTTCTTCAGCGTTTCCACTTTGATGCTGTTTTATACCTTCATTCATTAGACTGTAAAGGCAAATGTTTTACTTTTTGCTTCACTGCATTTATCCGACAGCTCTTGCTAATTTGCAGATTTGACCTTTAAATACAAAAAAATGATAAACTCATAAATTATGATACGATGTTTATGACGGCTTGAGCTTAAGAAAAAAGCAGCAATGTAGTCATAGCTATGATCCAATGATATATTTTGAAACGGGCCATTCTGCATAATAAGTATTCAGTAGTTTGAATATATTTTGGTGCTAATACGTTTGTTCTTTTACTGAAGTAAACACTTGAACGCAGAGTATTTCTACATTGTGTTGTTGCAACCTGGTGAGATTTCTTTTAAGGGCATTTCAGTGCTAAACTATGGTGCCAATTAAACATGGATGGAGGTCAGAACAAGCTTAGAATTTTAGAATTTTCAACTTTCCGATGGTCCTTGAGCCAATCCTGTGCACTACCGTCTGGAAAATCAACCAAATCTAAACTTGAAATCATCTCGTTTAAAGAATTCTGTGCTTTCACCAAGAAGCAGCTGTGGCTCAGCTCCAACCACAAACCACAAACAGATAGAATTGGCAGATTTTCAACTTTCTGAGGGTACTTGAACTACTCATCTACTTGAAACCGAAACAAGCCACGCTTAAAATTAGGATATTTCATCACAATTGTGTTATTTTACATGTTTCATTTAGAAATTTATCAAAAACTAACTGCCTAACTGGATTCTGTTGACATTTTTATTTTTTAAAACTGTCACATGGCAAAAATTTAGAGACGACTCGGCTGAACTGCAGCCTGTGTTTAGTCAGAACAGATAAAAGACAAGTACGGAAACAAATTAAAAAATGTATGCAGTAAAATATCTATTGTTTGTAGAGAGTTGTTTGTTTTTCCAGTGTTGAAAACTCCTGAGAGCAAAATGTTGGAAAATAACTAAGCAAAGAAATTCAAAGTTTGTTCTTTCTTTCTTACGATGTATGGATATATAAGTGTGTCATACTCCACAGAAGACATTTCTGAGTTCTCTCTACTTCTAGTCATGGTTGTGTTGTTTCCATAGAGGTGCAGGACTTTATATTGCAGTGAAAAATGAGCCCACAGTGGGTAAAAATGCTTAAAAAATGACAGGGTTTCAGACAGTTGCCTCCATGCAAAGTTAACTGTAGTACTGCACAGTTTCTTTAAATCAAATAACCAGCTGAGGGGCAAACTACAGCTGCAGCAACTAATACATACAATTTCAGAAGATTTAAATGCATAGCACTGATCAAACATTCCCAAGACTTCACCACACAAGACCCAGTGTAACACAAGTCCCAAGTGAATCTTCTTTTCTTTAGAGGTTATTTGAGTGCAGCTTCCTGAAAGTGTCGACCGGATTCCTACTGTTTTACTGATTAGGCTCTTATTAAATCCAAACCACGTACTGAGCAATGACAGCTGCTCATTGGTCACCCGGATCCACTGCTCGCAGAGCTCCTGGCTGGGGCAGTGAAAGGTGACGTCAGCGCAGCGCCACTGGTGCTGCCTCGTCCTCCTCACGTAGGAAACTGTACGGAAACAGAACAGAGACGATCAGAGCGACGACAGAAGAAAGACATCCAAAAGCAGGGAATTCCTGAGCTAAATATAGCATCTGCCATTTGTTTCCTCCTGCTCTGTGCAACCCGTGGTGTAAAAATACCTTCACCAGATATGCATCCCTGATAAAAAACATGTGAGCTACAGTTTTTTTTTGGCCCCGCTCAGACCAGATTCAGAGCTACACCTGCAGGTTTGTCCTACCGGTGAACCCCTGGTTTGATCCTCCCCAGCCAGGAGCATCAGATACCATTAAGAAGAAGCCAGTTAAGTAAAACAGGACTCCACTGATAGTCAGACAAAAAGCAGAGATGGAGTCACATAATATCCCGCGAGGAACATTGCTGAAATATTTACATTAAGGGGGGGAAAAAAAATTCACTCGCTAAGCACTTTGACGGCAGCAGATTCACCCGCTAAGCATTTCAAAGTCAAATTATCGCACTAAGCATTTTCTCCATCAGATAGAAAAGTTAACTTTTTTTTCCCTTCCTCCTTCGCTCCAAATCACTTACGGTAGCTGGTGGGAGTCACACCGTCCTGGAGTGAGTTACATAATCGGGATGTAAGTGATGCCTTTGAAGCCAAGATTGTGGGAATGCAGTCAGACTCGACACACTCCTAATGCCAGTAAAAGCTCACATTAGTGGGGGTAATTTTTTGACATTTGGCTGTGATAAATAATGTAAATCCAATCTTGTTTGGATTTAATCTAATGGCTCCAAATCGAGCGTTAGCCCCAAAGTCAGTGGCACGCTGCCATCCCCGAGCCGGTCGGCTGAGCTGCGAGCAACTCTCTCGTTAATGCATTACTTTCTAGCTATGAAGCCGTCTACAGGCTTATTTCCAGCGTCGGGACACTCGTGATTGGTGGAGCTGAACGCAGACTGCTGGCACGCTGAGCCGAGATGCGACCGCGATGTGGTTTTAACCTACTTCGGGGAAATCAGAGTGACAGTGACGCAAACTGGCTCCCGGGGAACAAAAAGACGCTGCATCTGTTTCATAAATGGGCACTTTAGTGGTTTAGACTTTGATTAAATGGCAAAAAAAAAAGAAACAGAGAAATGCTGGATCATGAGCTTCTGAAGACATACGGAGGCAGACTTGCTGTGTGAATGTGGTGAAATGTGTCCGTTTTGTACCTGTGAATGCGTACGGATGCAGCTGATCGGCCTCCTTCCGACTCTTCCTGGTCTTCTGAGCGTCGTCTTCATCCTCAGTCTTGCGAACGGCGACTATTTCACACACCTGAACAGTGTGACTGTGTGCTGGGAAGACAAGAATTCAGTATTTTACAGAGCTGCATTACATAATTACCAAAGCACGGTGCTCTACAGCCAGCACATTTAGCCTGTGGAGTAAGTTCTCATATGGACATATGAAGAGTTCATTTGCAAAAACAGATAACTTCATCTTCACAATCCTTCAGAAAACCCACTTTTCAATCATCTACCTGAAACAACATCAATCAAACTTAAGTTATCTCTATTTTTGTCATTTCTGCTGAATCAAATCCACTCAGCTTCAGTTTGATTCATATTGTCTCAAGCAAACAACAAAAATATGTTTTCTGAAAATCAACAAAGATGGAGTTATCTGTTTTTATAAATGAACTCTTCAAATACTGTTTTGTTTTGTTTTGTTGTTGTTGTTGTTTTTTTGTTTTTTACAGATTTTTCCTGTTTGTGAAATTGCAGATAATAAGATCACAGCAAAAACCATTAATTTGCATGGTAAAAAATAAAATAAAATAAAATACAAAACTGTAAATCACATCAAATTTCTGGGTTTTTTTTTTTTAAGACAATGTGTTCTTTTACAATGTGTGACTGCAAAATTCCACTTTTTAAAAAAAAAAAAAAAAACTGCACTTAAATAATCTATAAACACCATGAAATATTTTTGTTCAATTTGTTTTTATTTTTTAAATTTTATTTATTTATATTATTATTTTACTGTTAAGGACTAACATCACAGTACATTAGTACAAATATAGTCAATTGTACAGACTGTTTCCGGGCGTGTTGAATCACAGATAATATTCAGTACAATTGCTAATGTTAAACATCCTTAATAATTTACATGTTGACTGCTCATAATATAATAAAAACATCTGTGTGTTTAGAAAAGGGTATTTGTTCTTTTACCACATTTGACTCAAAAATTACAGGTTTTGTTTACTGTATTTAAATCAGTGAATTTTGATTTTTTTTTCAGATTTTTGCTGTTATTCGAGAACTTAAAAAAGTCAATCATCGTCTTTTTTTTCTGCATGTCTTGTTAAATCACAGATAGAAGTATAACTACCATGACTTATCATCATTATTAGTTTACATGTTTTTATAATACATGACCGTTAAATTACACAGCTTTATTGTATTTATATCAGTCAAAAAAACCCAAGAAAAACAACAACCAAAAAACCCCCAAAAAACAAAAAATTGTTTTTTTACATTATTTGGCTGTTTTTTTTCACAGTTTTTTATGGTTACAGTTTTAAACATATTTTTTGTTGGGACTTTTCAGCTGAACTGCAGGCAGTGTTTAGGAGACAAATATGGAAACAAATAATAAATGTGAGTCATAAAATATTTGCAGCATGTAGAGCCCCGACTTTTACAGTATTGGTAACAATGGTGGACGCACTAGTTGCAGGTTTTTACATTTTTTTTAAACTTTGTATGACATTAAATCTTAATTATGCTGCAGAGAAGACAGTCTGGAGGTCTCTCTACTTCTAGCCATGCTGTTTCCACAGAGGTGCAGGACTTTATATTGCAATAAAAAAACGAGGCCAGACATATTAAAAATGTGACAGGAGCAAAGAAAACACCCAGAAAGTGCTTAGGGGTTAGAATTATACAAGCCTTATCTGCTGAATCACAAAAGGATTCTTGTGTTAAAGCGACTGGAATTTATTCCACAAAGACGGAAACGAACGGAGAAAAAAACACGGCTAAATCCCGAGAGAGTTCGCGAATGTGTTTTGGGAAAGGAAGCGCATCTTGTCGTTGGGTCTTTCCCACGGGAATCCGATTTCGGCTGCCAGTTTAAAATGACTTTGGGATGAAAGGCTTTGGCAGTGTTCGAATGCTCTGTGACCTGGTGGCTCCTGGCAGCGACGAGACGAGGCGGGTCAGCCAAGTCATGAAGCCGCTAAACGACAGCAAATAATTTAATTAGCGGTGATTCACTGCGTGAAGAGAGGAAATAAAGACAAATGTAGGGAGGCGTGCCATTTTCACAGCTTTCAGTGGGGAGGAAGACGAGCAAAATGCAGCAAAAATTAAAAATAAGTTTCGAAAAGTTGCAACTCAATGCTGGGAAGGATTTTACTTTGAGCCTTTTCTATAGAAATCTTAAGCATTCAATCACAATAGACGAGGGGGGAAAAAATAAATCAAAAATGCACTTTGGTACAAGGGAAGGACAACATTACTTGCAATGAGTTTAACTGACCTCTTCAACTGCATCACATTCTGGCATTCCAGTCTCTCCGACAAATTTATTCAGCTGATATGGTGAAATGGATGGGAGGGAGGCATGACATATTATTTCTCTCCTGGGAGTCTGAGGGAATAGGATTTCATTTCTTTCTCAAATAAAGATGATACGCCATGCAGGCATGAATAACTTTATGGCCATCGATATTCACACTTTGACAAATAGGAAGAAGAGTTATGGCCAAGTGGGTAATAGCTGTATTTCAGAAAGAGAGAGCGAAAACAAGAATGAAGAGTTTCATTTGGACTACTTGAGAAATTGCCCCCATCGCTCTGCCAAACTCATTGTTGCTGTTGGATTAAAAACCAAAAAAACAAAAACATAATGAATTACGTGAAGTTATTTTGACTGATGTGGTGCTGATGTTGTTCAGGGTCACGGGGGGATATTTAGAGCTTAAGAGCACCTGAACACTCACATTCTGTTGCTGCAGGTCGTATTTTTTATTGATGCTGTTTTCTGAAGAGGTCTGTACGTATAAATACATGTAAATAATAATAATAAAAATAATTAATGTTATTATTATCATTAGTAGTAGCCATGGTGGTATTATAAAATAAATAATAAATAAATCTGATAAAATAAGTGCAATAAAAATCTGTAAAAAAATAAATAATCGGAAATCAGGAAAAATATATAATGCTCAAAAACTGGCAAATATTCTGTAAAATATTGATATTTTTATTTTATTTAAATACAATAAAATAATGCCAATTGGTGGAAATCATAAGTTTTTACTTTTTTTTATTGAGTTTTTTTTTTTTTTTTTTTAACAGTCAACATGTATATTTTTATGTTTTCTGTGATTTTAATATATAATATCTTTAATTTAACAACATGGAAAAATCTGTAAAATATCAGCACATATTACTGCCCATTTTTCATTTATATATATACTTTTTTTTCTCTTTCAAATAATGTTTAGTTTTTCCTTTCCTGCTTGTTTATTTACTGTTTTTAACGCTTCCAGGCGTCCCCTGCTAAACCCGTGTTTAAAGTCACAACACTATGAACTGTGGGTAATTCCCTCAGGCAAAGTCTGCAGAAATACAGACTTTGGAAAGAGCATCAGGGCTAAAAATGTCTGCGACATCGTCCTCGTGCACTTGAAGGTTTGACAGCGGGACGACCGTCGGCCCTCGTGGACTCAGCAGGAACGAGCCTCAAAGTCAGGATCGGGTCACCAAGTTTTAACATTTACCGAGAAGCCGCTGAACTGCAGGCAGTTTCTGAGCATTGTTCTGCTCCTGTCACATTTTTTTACTCACTGTGGGCTCATTTTTCACTGCGATATATAATCCAGCACCTCTATGGAAACAACACAACCATGACTACGAGCAGAGAGAGCTATTGTTTGTGCGGTATGACCAGTTATACTGCCATGAATCCTAAAAAATAACAATAGGAATCAACATGGAGTGCTCACAGGTTTTATCAATACTAGGAAAGAAATTGTGGCTCCTCATGCTTTAGATATTTTACTACTTACAGTTTTAATTTATTTCCATCTTTGTCTCCTATCTGCTCTGTGGAAACACTGCCTGCAGTTCAACCTGGCCACAAATTCTCAGAATTCTTGCTGTGTGAATATTAATTCTAGCCGAACCACTGAGGACTTCCTGGTTGTAACCAGATGTGCAGAATTTTTTCTTATTTACATAATCTGTCTGGAGCAGATGGTTGATTTTTGAGAGTTTTTTTTCATGAGCTGTGTAGCTTACAGGTGACTTTGATGAAATGTCATGATTTGTTTTCCAACTGCGTGGCTCACGGACTGTCGGAAAGCTGAAACTCTAATCATTCTTTCTATTTTTGGAGTTTCTTGCTCTGATACATAAAAGATAACGCCCTTTTCGTTCGGCAGGTTTAGCGGCTGCTTTTCAGCAAAAAAAATGACAGATTCTCTTTACTATAAGAACAAGGAGTGTCTCAGTTCTAATATCGTATTAAGCCGTGACCCTGTGATGGCGAACCAGCATGCACGACGAGATAAATAAAAGTCATTACTCTGTATTTACACCTGTGACTCTCCCACTGTGGCATGTCAAAAAGGCCTTCAGTGGAAAAAGGCCCGTTTTGACACATGGATGTCACGCTGCCCTGTGGATGTTGACTATGAGTCTTCTGCGAGTATTTTATTGTTTGCACTTTCAATTTAAGCGCACCGTCCGCCCACGTGCACGCGATAACGGATAACTCAGATAACGAGACTCGAATTTACGCACTTTTACTGCTGCTTCTCTTATGCAACATGTGCCGCTGACAGTTGGCGTATCGCAGAGATGTACTGACAAAATAGACACGCAGCATGGAGGAGGATGTTCCAACATGTCAGAAATCATTTCATGCAAGTGTGAGCTGATAAGAAAAAAAAAAAGCAGATTATCCCTAATGGTAAAAAAAGGCAAGATGAACTGTAACAGGTCTGAGATTGTTCCTCAAGAAATTTGTTTGTTGCACATCTGAATTCCAAATTTGTACCCGAGCTGTTGCTGCTCAGAAAATATGAAAAATGTATGAAATCATTTAGCCTCGTAGGCAAAAAAAAGCCACTTCTGCACAAAGACGGAAAGCCAACAGCTATGGCCGAGTCAGTGCGGGCAGCGCTGCTCTCTGTGCTCGCTTTTTTTTTTTTTTATTTTCGCTTTGGGCAACTTTGGTTCAAATTAACCCCAGAACAAGCACAAATCCAGCATCCCAGTGAACTGTGCTGGGAGAAGGAACTGGAAACAATAGCTGACATTCCCACGTTTGCTCCAATAAC